GCTATTCATTATTAAGATCAGAAGAGAAAATGATTTTTTCAGGGCAGCAGTCGTGCAATTGATATGTTCAACAGCCTTATTGTTTTCTTTCCACTTGATCTGACATTCATAACTCACCCCATCTTGAAATCAGTGGTGATCTAATTTTCTATCCTAGTTTATTCTTCCCTCCATAATATTATAGTACTAACCCAAATAGTTCCTAAAACATAAACAGTAACAAATAATGAACAATAAAGCAACGAGCCTCTTGTAAAAATGCCATTACCCTAAAGATACGATTTGCTTTATGTTGCCTATTTTCAATTGTTCAGAAAAGGAAACCTTGAGTAGTAGGGCTGTCATGTAAGGAATGCAAATTAAATCCCAGGTTTATGAAGGTAAATAAGGTTTTATGAAGAATCTTTATGACATGATGGATTATCTTAAGTGCTCAAGTACTGAGGAGCCAATTCCTGTGCAAAAGAATCTATCAGACTACAGTCCTGTGTTGTTTCTTAGCAATATTTTTGAGTTTTATCATTAACATTAAAAAGATTATGAAATACGTTTTCCAGTTAGTCTGGCAGTATCATTTCTAATTCCCAATATGTTATTATTGTGAGTCATTTTTAAAAGAAAAATATCAAAAAAGCCAAGCAGGTCCACTCTGTAAGTAAAAGAAGGAAGAAAAGTCTAGTGAATATGTATTCAGTAATATCCCTGGGGAGTCAGTTGTGTAGGTGTGATACAAATGGGAAAAACAGCTCTCCAGAGAGCACTGCATAGAAAGGAACAAAGAAAGGAACCTTTTTTGCCGGGCTGGGGGTTTTGCTGCTGGCTGCTTGGCTGCGTGGTGGCATTGTTCGGAGGAAGTGCACCTGCTCTAACATTTTCTTTGGCTGGAAGCAGACAGGTTTGTTGAATGCTCTAATTGCTGGTAGGCATGAAAGGATTGCCTAGAAGATTGCTTCCTAGGCTGTCCTTTGATGTTTCGGATGATTTGGAAGCGAAGATTTCTTTTCCTTTATCCATCTTGCTAATAGGTGAGAATAAAATATCTTCTCGCAGCTTTCATTCCAGAAGGTATCATGGCACATTCTGTCCGATTAGCTGTATCATGGGCCAAAAGACTCCTTTTATCTTTTGAAAAGATTTGTAAAACACAAGCATAGTCATCACAGTCCACATTCATAAAGCACTATTAGCGACGTGTTCAGTTCATTGCAGGGGTCTCTGGGCAGGCGAAACACTCTGCTGTGAGCACTACGTTTGTCAAATGCTATAAAACTGGCTAGGAATTTTGGATGCAATCCTTTTAATACATATTAGGAATCTTGGACTGCAATTAGAACAGGTTTGTTCTTTGTTTAATTCCAGTTATGTTAATTTATAAACATAATTCTGTGTATAATTCTAACACAAAATCCAAGTTTTCCCTTATTTTTCTGCAAAATTTGAATAGCAGAGCTGCACTGAGGCTTAATGATTTGAAGATTCTCCTTTTACAAATATATATAAGGCATGACTAGTGCACTATGAAGTATTGTAGTAAATCTAAACTGTACCTATAGCTATAAATGATATGATGTCATATATTTTAATTGTTTGCTGAAATTTGCAAAGTCATAGAGTAACAAAAAAAAATTCCTTTTAATAGAAAATGACCAGCTGAGAGAAATTATGATGCATTAAGTTAACCCATGTAAGCTGTCACTAACACTTTTCTCTTGACAAAGCGGACTGTTACCAACATACTTGGAAGTGCCAGAATGTTTAAAAATATGTAGCTGTTCTCAATAGAACAATCTTCCTCAATTCAATTGGGTTTAGTTCTCCACTATGGTACAAAATTCAGATTCAGATCCACCACATCCAAAGTTCAGGAGTGGATGGGCTGTACCTTTTAATCAGAGCCTGTTTTATTTTCTAATGAATAGTTGAGAATTACTGCTTAAGAAACTTATGTCTATTAAATATGTCTCAGAAATATATTGTCTGAGGTTTTTAAAGATAAATATTGTTTTAGGCAGTATTGGAAATTAAGAAACACGTCGTTCTTGAATCACTTGTAAAATCTGGCAGAAAATCTTCAATGTATCTTCTGAAACTATAGACATCTAGATGCAATTTTTATGTTAAGATTTACTGAATTATGAATACAGTTACCTTTTTTTAGAAATAGTCTTATTTTCAGACTATCTTTTATGGGATTCAATTTTTGGAATGCTGAGACATATCGGCCTTGAACTTTATAGTTACCTTTTGAGTAAATTGATTGCAGTGCCAATGGCCAAGGCCGTTAAATTTCTATTGAATTTTGTCATGGTCACTGTAAATTATATCAGCTTCCCAACTTACTTTTCTGAGGGCAGAGAATGTGGATTTTGTCTTGTGCTGTAAGCAAGGAGTATATTTACATGTCTACAGCTGTGGCCTCCAATTTTCATTTTGTTGTGATGCAATAAAGTATTTTAAAGAGCATGTCTGAAACTTTATTTACTTGGCAAGAGGTCAGTCTGTTTTATTTTTTTATCTGGGGAACCAAATGTTTATCAGGTTTCTGTATGAATCATGCGGTGTGTTAGGGAACATTTTGCACCAGTGTTTTATTTTAGATGTCTTTATTATAAAGTTTTGATGTGTTAAATTTTCCAAAGGTATTTTAAGTCCAGGAAAAGGGTTTTTTTCCCCAAAAATTTCCAAATTTAACATGCATATCTTTGTATATATAACTCTGTGTGACCATGTATCTACCTACATGAAATCCACTAATTCTGATACTTTTGTTAACTAAGTAAATGTGAATATTCTGGTGTATTTCACGTGTTCGGAGGCAGGGTTACTAATACACGTACCCTTAGGATGTAAATGCTTCAAGAGGATAAAATCTAGGTGACTATATTATTCTTGTCTCAATGGGTGGAGAGAAGGTTGAGTGTTCAGTTCACCTCCCCATTCACCAAACAGCAGGAGTGAGGCAGCTGTGAGACGCAGGCTGGTACAGTCAGGGGAGTCCTCCTCCAAAATTGAAAGGGAAAGGATTGCAGATCGGAGTCGTGTATCCTATTGTTTCATTCACTACTAGTCATTCACCACTTAGTGCTATAAATGCAGAGGGGACTACTGCCTAAAAAATTTTTGATGATGACCCATACAATGCCTTCAGTTGAAAGTGGCCTTCTCAGCGTTAATGTCCAAGTCACTATCTTAAGGGTTATGTGTAAGCCATCTAGAAATAATAGGGGTGACTCATTCATTTTGATGTGGCTGTGGGTTTTGTGGTCATATACATGGAAAAACAGAGCGTACTTGGACATATCCTTGCAGGCAATTTTGCAGACCTTACTTTGATAGGGACCAACTCTTACTGGACTGTTTACTTAGGTTTATTCTAATTTAGCCTTGTGAAAAAAGGCATAGAGTAACCACAAGTTTTGTAATGGGTAGACATAAAATTATGTTTGGTTTTTTTCTTCTTCGTGGGTATTGCTAACATGCTTAAATATGTCTCTGCGTGCTATCTCATTTTTGTATGAAATGTTCAGAACTGCAGCAGAAACTGTACTTTAAAAAAGGAGGAGGAAATTAAATGTGTGAGATTAGCCTGATATAATTTTGAGGGTTTGGTTTATGCAGACAAAAACCCAGGAAATTCAAAGCTTAGCCTGAGCTGTAGTCCATCAATCAAACTTTTGTGGAAGAATAACGCTAGTAATCATAGAAAGCACAAGATGATGTGAGATATAATAAGAGTGCAAGTCTTAATAATCCTGACCCATAACTGTATTCTAAATGCATGTTTTTGTATTTAATTTCCTGAGGAAAGTATTAAGGATGATGAATAGGAGAGGAAAATATTTCATGGACAGTTAATTGATGGGGCAGCTTTCAAAGCAAAAAGAGTTCAACACCCCACAGATTTGACTACTCTCAAAAGCTGAATGGTATAATTACACATCGTATTCTACAATATCTCACTTTAATCTTGTACCAATGTTTTTAAAAATATATACAATTACTTTTTAAAGGAAAACTTATAAAAGGAGTCTTTTTACTTCAGTAAAATCAGTGAAATACTTCAGTCATTTCTGACAGTCATGGGGACTAGAAGCTGATATAGTAATATACTACAACGTTACTACATGTGTTTACCCAATTCAAGGGATGACTAATTGCCAATCTAAAAGAAGATAGTTTACAAACATAGTTATGTTCTTGGTGAGGAACAAAGTATCCTTCATTCTTCATGAAACTTCGAAAGAGAAGGATTAAGATATAAATATAATGAATTCTGCCACTTTGTATTTGAAATTAAAGATTCTGAATTGAATCGGTATTGCCTTGAAATGGATCATATTTTTTCTGATACATGAATTGATTTGTGAGTTAAGCAAGCTACGGGAGCAGATGTTATTAAATTCCAAAGAAACTGAAAAGAAAAAGCTTCAAGACAAGAAGGTATTTTCAGGAAAATTTACTACCACCAGTCAAACAAATCTTGATAGCATTTATGGTACAGTATTCAGTATTTCATTTGTAACGCTCTTCTGAATATATTTTATGTTAAGCATAACACTGTTCAATTCTACAATTAAAGTATATGGGGCAGATTGTAATTGGCAGACCAGTTAAGAAAGAAAACATTAGACTCTGACCTTGATGTGTTTGTAACAGCCTGGAGAAATTGCTTAATTCTTGTGACCAGGAGTGTTGTGAATGAGATTTGTGTACCAGCACACTACAGAAAAGTTTAAGATTCAAAATATGTCTTTAATGAACGTTACATAATTTTCCATGCAGTTAGCAAATTTGATTGTATCAGTTTAGCTCTCTTTATGAGCTGCTCCAAACAGAAGAGAAGGTGATTATGTTAATGAAGAAAAGAGGAAATTTAATAAATAATCATAATGATGTGAAATTTGTTTTTATGCTAATCTGTTATTTTTAACTGGGCTACCTTCCACATTGTTCTTTTCCTGATAGTCTATTTCTTTTTTTTTTCTTCACTTTCTATCTAGGACTGGCTCATCACATCTGTAATCTCCTAATAGAAACTGTGGCTCTGTACTTAGAGGCAGATGATAAAAGCAGCACGAAGACAGCAAATGCACTGCTTCTGTCCTTGCTTGACATTTTGCACTGTATGCTGATGTATACAGCAAACATTGTGCGCCAGGCTTTACAGGTACGAAATTTATTTCCTGAGGTCATCGCCATCTTAAACAATTTTTTAAATAACTTCCTGTTATCCTAACAATGAATTCCCACTCTTCTGATTTTATTGAATTTTTAGTTTGGTGGAAAGAGAAGAGCATGTGTATTCAACTGTATATCACTGTTTCATGTAGTTACTTGGCTAGACTATCCATACTAGCCTCGCTATATGCTGGAAACACAGATCCTAGCTGACTCTTTTGTTTCTGTACTCCATAAATAGCGTAATTTAATATTTTCCTAGTGATAGTTCAAAGCATTTTTCTTCCGTTCTTTTTAAAATAAAAAGATTATGCCATAAAAAACAGTATATTTTTTATTATAAATCACACGTGATTGAAAAATATATATAACCTCTGCATGTGCACTGACAAGTATTTCCTCTCTTACACTGATCAATTTGTCTTCCAAGTTTCTGTCTGAACGACTGCAAATGATGGCACTGGTAGGACTTCCTCTTCCAGTGAAGACTTCCTCCTCAAAAATGGAGCACAAAAAAGATGCTATGCAAAGAAATTGCACATAACGCTGTTAAATGCTTTTTCTTGTTTTGTTTTTGTCTTTTTTTGGACATGACGTTAAGCTCAATATTTGCTTTGTTTTTAACTGATCTGCCAAATTTCTAAGTTAGTCATCTGGAAGTAACTTCTGTTTAGGCTGCAAACAACACCACTTACTCTTTATGTTAGGTTTTTGATGTTCTTGGGATTATCCACTGGAAAACAGAGGAGCCTATTAGATCCAATATATCTGGAAGACAGAGATTCAAAAGATTGCAGTGAGGTTGTATTGAATTTTGGGACATGGCTTCTTTATTCTGAAAAGGTCCTCCTCTTTTGGGTTTTTTGTTTGTTTTGTTTTTGTTTAAGAAGGTTTAATGTATGAAGTGGGTGTTGAAAATTGAGCTTTTTGTATTTTCTTTTTTCTGCACAGATTTACATAATCAGTTGTGTTATCAACCAGATATTTCACTGATAGGTGTTGGGTTTTTGTTTTGGTTTGGGGTTTGTTGGGTTTTTTTCAGTTTTTGGAAAAACTTAATTTAGAACTGATGGTACAATACCTTGTCTTTTTCGAGTCTTCTAATAGCAGGTTCTGTAATGCATTTCAAATTTTGTAGACTAGTTGCTCATTGTCATATTGTTGGCAGCACTCCATGTAATGACAGAGAGCTAAATTCTGTACTTATGCTCCATGCAGCAGTGGTGAGGCCAATTATACTGGAGGACACATAAAGAGAGAGAATCTTGCACATGGATTGGTAATATTAGTGAAACTGATGATTTTTATTTAGATCCAAAATTAAATCTATACATTCAAAGCCAAATTCTATTCTGGCTCTACATGAATACTTTAGCTGATCGATGCACTAAAACTCCAGCTCCAGTTTTGTCCATCTCTAGTCAAAGTAATCTGCTTTGCTCTGGAAGGCCAATGGGTAAAAAGAGGCAGCTGGAAACCTGAGTTTTGAAGCATAGCTCTGCCCTATACCCCTATAAAACTAATTTTACAGTGGTGTTACTTGCCTTGGCATACTTGTCTTGACAATATTCATCACAAGGCCCATGGGGGTTCTACAGCTACCTCAGTAGACATGCCCTATTGAATGATGGCCATAAGATGGTGACTGCTATTTGCCATGCATCTACATAGTATTCCACTGTCCACGTGTCACTAAATGCATCACTGCAGTGATAACAAATATTCTTGGACTGTTTTTATAGGGAACTTCTGGATAAGATACCTTCTAAAACAACTTGAAATAGAGAATCAAATTTTCTCATATTGTCCATTTTTGAGGCTTAAGTTGACTTTTATAGATGGTACTACTTCCACTTGAATCCTTTACGTAAGTTTTTTATATGTGAAGTGATAACCTTATCCAGCTGCATAGGCAAAACATGACACCACTTTTCCTTTGCATTCCAGTACTTTATGCTGAATGTGCTGATAACTGTATCCAGCTTCATTCAAGACTTTGCTCTCTATGGTCCAAGTACTTGTGTTTTGGTACAAATGTTCAGATTAATTTGCATATCTGTTTTGGAGCAGTTTCATCATCTCATGTTCCAGAGGTGATCCACAGTAGCTGAAAGTAATTTGCAATTTTGATTTGAGAAGTGGATGCGATTTAGTGACTTAATGTAGATTTAAGCATGGTGTAGTGTGTATCCTTCATATACATATGTAAAGTATGATTCCTTTAGTGATGTTGTTCATTCTCTTTCTAAAGACACTGAAGGTATACGTTAAAGAAAGTAGTCAAACATCACTGATGGAGGATGTCTGTCTTCTCATCCAAGTACTAACCAGAAAAAAATGTTGTAAATTTTGCTGAAGTGAAGGTGGCTTACTTCCCTTTCTTGATTAATATAAACACTCCATTATTTCTTTTTGTCTTCTCTGCACTGTGTCTTTTTGCCCTTCTTGGACCTCAGCATTCCAGGTCATTGTGGCGAGTCTCAGTGAGGGACATACCAATGTGTCTTACTACCTGGAGAAGCAGTTCTTCAGATATCTTATTCCAAAATTCTTTCCAGAAGAAAGGCATTATCAAACTCATCAATATCAACAGCGGAGTTTCAGCAGTAGTGTCTCTTGACTCAGGGGATGTGCTCCTGTGTTCACTTAACCAAACGAAAATCCTCAAGTATTACACTGGGATGATGGTTTTAGGATTGAGTTTTCAATGAAACACAATACAAAAAGGTTTTTAAATGTGTTCTTTAGACAAAATGTTTACATTTTGCTGCTTTCCTCTAGCAGCTAGACTGTATAGGGTCATGGTCTAAAGCTGCTGCAAGGTAATGAAGTTAAATGAAAAATCTTGCAAGTAGACATTTCTGGTATCCTGGGGCAGGGATGGGTCATAAATAGCTTTGCCTGGGATGGCAGTGTGTTTTGATGAGGGGGAATGACTATGGTCAGAATTACAAGTAGTAACAGATCATATCACAGACTTTGGCCCATTAAGGATTTTATTATTCCTATTTTTAAAATAAATTATTATAATATATTCTGACTATTTCAGGATACAAAGTGAGTCACAAGGGCAAAATTTGACATTATTGCTGAGAATCCTAACTTTTCAGTCACTTTGATTATTTGGTTTTGAGTTGCACTTAGAAGTGTTCCTGATAAAGAAATAGTTGAAATATTAAAATAGGCACGTCATGTTGAAAGAGAATACAAATACATAAAACATTTATGGCTGTAGAGATATCTTTTGCGTATACAGTTTATAACATTTTGCTGAAGAAATGTCATGTAGGTCAGTATTTTCAGCCCGTGCAGAATGGGCATAGCAGCATGAGTCCCTTTTGCTTTGTGCTTATTGTTACAGACACAGGGAGCGTAACTGCTCGTTGGGAGCCCCGGAATACTTAACTA